ATATTGGAGAAGGTTGTCCACCGACAGATTACTGAATTCTTCCGTGACCACCCAGAGCTGTCCGCCTTGCCGCTGGAGCAGTTTGCGTACCGTCCAAAGCACAGTTGCGAAGATGCCCTCGCTGTTTCCATAGACAGGTGGACAAGAGCACTGGACAATGGCCAGCGATGCGCGATACTGTTCGCAGATATGAGCAAGGCTTTCGACCGTGTACAGCATCAACAACTGGTCAACGAGCTGGCTGACGTAGGGCTAGGCGGCTCGGTGCTGAAGTGGTTCGCGGACTATCTGTCCTCCAGAAGTCAACAAGTCGTGGTCAATGGGGAGCGTGGTGGGACTGTGCCCTGCACCAGGGGAGTTCCGCAAGGGTCCGTCCTTGGCCCCCTCCTCTTTTGCGTCTACATCCGCAAGGTTCCACAGATTGTTCGGAACAGTATTTCTCAGCTCTATGCCGATGACATCGCCTTTTTCGTCATTGGAACGGACCTCTCTGTCATGCTGCGAAAGCTTCAGGATGACCTTAGCGCTCTGGAGCTCTACCTTGATGACAAAGGACTTCTCATGAACCCTGACAAGACGCAGTTCCTGGTCCTTCGGCGCCCACGCCAACCTGTGCCGCATCTACCAATCCCCCTAGTTTGTAAAGGCAAGCCCCTCACCCCTGCAGCCACCGTGAAGTATCTCGGACTACTCATCGACGAGCATCTCACCTTCCAGCCGCAAGTCGAGAAGGTCTGCGGTGCGGTGTTCGGCAAGATTGCCGCCTTCAGACATGGCCGAAAAAACCTAACACCTGAAGCGAAGAGGACGTTCTATTTATCCATTGTGCAATCGACTCTCGACTATGCCAGTAACGCTTATCTGCACTGTCTCAGCGCCACCCTGTTCAATAAAATCGTGACGGTCAGTCACATAGCAATGAAGAAAGTTTTTGGGTTTGACCGTATGATGTCTACTGAAATTGTTCTCCGCAAATATCATCTCTATTCTTTTGAACAGCGCACAAATCTTAAACTCTATGTTTTCGTGTACCGCTGCTTGACCCCACATCTTGCTAGTCCCCTTCTCCAATCCTTGTTCCAGCTTAGGGCTGCTGTGCCTGGACACCAGGCTCGCACGCGCGGCCAGGCATAGCGCGCATTAGTTCTTCCGCCTGTTTCTACGCAATATGGCATGCGTTCTATTTCTTTCCTGGCGGCAGACAGATGGAATGCTCTTCCCACTGACTGCCGTCAGGCCCCGTCTCTTACTCTGTATGTAAACATGGTAAAAATTCACCTAGGGTTCCCAGTAAAAAGGCAACGCCTGTTGGGACTCCCCTAGTAAAATAATAAAATCTACTACTACTACTACTACTACTACTACGCGAACCGTGAAATTTTTTTTAAATTTTTTTTGGTAGTAGATCTACGGGGAGGCGTTCACCAGTCAGCTAGTGGTATCCCGACGGTTCACCGAAAACGCGTTCACAGAACGACCATGCACAGAACGACGTTTCACCAAAAGACATTTCACAAAATGTGAGATTTAGCGACTGTTCACTGTTCGAGCCCGGACGTGAGCGCTGGCGATACATGTGTATCTGTATGCGTAGGTCACGTATTCATGGCTCATTCTGATTTTTTTACGAGAACAGAATACTGCATGATAGAGGTGGTTGCAGACGCAACTGTGGTGGTGAAACTGGAGCATCTCCGCCTGATATATGCACATCCTATTTATTTATTTTTATTTTTTTATTTCACCTTCCCGTGGCCAGAGAATATAGGCCAATATGGAGGGAGGGGGGCGGTAGCCAGCCATGGCAGTAACCATAAACAAAGCAAAAATTAATAAATATTACACATTACTGGAGGCAAAGAGAAACAAATCTGGATGAAGAATTAGCAGTTATTAAAACACGAGCTTCATGTTGGCCTTGAAATCCTTTAGCGTACAAGACGATTTTACTGATAGAAGCAGGGCCAGCCAGAGAGAATAGGCAACGAAAAACGGAGATCTGGTATAAGCTGAGGTTCGGGCTTTAGGTAAAGTGCAGGGATTGCGCGTAGGACGAGTGGGAAGAAACCAGTTATATTTACGCAAGTATGGGGGGGGGCTTCGTCAAGACGAATAGAATGAACAACAATACACAGTTTTCGATCCGCTTGACTAGAGATAGGGAAGGTGTTAAACATATCATACAGCTCGGCAGAAGGAAAGTATGATGGTTTGCGGAAAAGGACTTTGAGTATCCTCTTATGGTGGACTTCCAGGGTACTCATTAACGATTTACTTAGTAGGGATGACCAGGCGGTTGAGCAATAGAGAAAAATGGGGAGAATATAGCAATGATAAAAAAGGCGAATGCATTCAAGCGGTAGGTGGGAGCAGTGAGACACGAGGTAGCCAACAGCTTTACTGACTTTGCTACAGATATAGTCGACATGTCTACTAAACGATAAATCTGAGTCAATGACCAAACCAAGTTGTTTGTGTTGTTTTACCACTGTGAGGCCTGTGAGGAATCCGGGAAGAGTGAATGCATAGGTTGGCTCTGAGTTCGGCAGGAATAATCCTAACCAAATGAGATCAAGACTACAGTGTATGTATGGATTTTGGCGGTCTTAGCCTTTCGCATTCAAATCTGCGTCAAGGTTTGGACTTGGAGTGAACTGAATGCAAAAGTCACAGCCATGCGACCGAATGAAGGGAAAGGAAGAAAGAATCGTCGTGGACGAAAGACTGACAGCACCGACAGCCATTACTACAATCGAGAGTTGGTATTCAGAGAGGATGACCCAGAATACGCTCAGGTTACTATGTTGTTTGGTTGTTGTCAGCTCGAGGCTTTCTGCTATGATGGCAGAACGCGGATTTGCAAAAATTCAAGGAAAGCTAAGGAGGAACAAAGTCTGGATAAAGCAAGGCGACATCATCCTGATTGCCGTCATGGACTTCCAAGATTCTAGAGCAGATGTCATTATGAAGTACATCCATGAAGAGGGAAGGAAGCTGTAGGCCTATGAAGGGTTTCCACAGCCAGCCAAGCTCAGCGACAGCGAGCATAGATTGGGCCACCTCCACGCGGTTATGCCTGGTAACGTTTGCATTCAGTCCGCTCTAAGTCAAGAACGTGAGGCAGATTTGATTGCGAAAGGCTTAGTCCACCAGCATCGGTACACATTCATGTACAAGTAGTTTGAAGTAGATTGATTTTAACTCAGTTGTTGAGCACAGGAATTAATCATGTGCATATCAAGATTAAAAACTTTCCCACAGGTTACGGTTTAGAGTTCAGCAACTAGGCCAGATCCTGAGCAGTCGGACGTGCAAAATGACAAGAGCTACCCACACAAAATCCCATACAGGTAGTATCTCCACCATAGGCTCCGTGGGCAGATTGTTGCAGACTTGATTGAGCAATTGTGTAGAATCGTAGTGTCTAATGAAGTAGTTGTGTAGAATAGTAGTGTCTAATGAAGTAGTTGTGTAGAATAGTAGTGTCTAATGAAGTAGTTGTGAATACTTGATGGGTAACTTAGTATAGCGAAACCTGTCTAAGGCGACAACTCAACGGACATTCAAAATGTGGTCTCCATGTCGTATTTTATACACTCCTTTCAAGGTGCACGTAGGCGTTCAACAGCCAGCTAGCAGAGCGAGCGAGCCCGGGCACGAGGCCGGAAAAACTCAAATTTCCCGCAAAGTGCCACGGTGTGCGAGCCACCCAGGAGCCAAACAAATGCATTTACTTCAAGTACAATTGTTTCACATTTTCGTGCCCATTCTGTCCGTGCGCGAGACCCAAACCTAAAACAAATCCAGGAGCAGCCATGGGTGGTGGGGTAGGGCCCCTCAACGTGGCCCTGGAATCTGTCACAACGGAACGAGTGGGCGTTATTTCACAGACTCCCACAGACCCAAGTCAATTTTTGATTTTTTTAGGTTTAGCACGTGCTACGAGGTCGTACCTTTGATACAACATCCAGTGCTGGCACCTCCACCGCAAGCCATTTCCACAGCGCTGCACACCAAATCCAGGATACCCTCAGAAACCGGCAAAGGATACCACTCACGTTCCACTAGTGCCTAGTACTGAATCCTACCTGACTTCTTGACACGACTCAAACTTGCCAAAGCCACTAAATCAACGTCAACTTCAATAATCAAGCCACATATCTGCAACGTCACGAGGGTGCTGGCAAAAGTCCTGCTGCACGGCGTCCGCCGCCGTGCAGCCCAATACGTGGTTTTTAACGTGATTTTTGGACTTGGAGCAAAATTCTGCACACTTTCGCGTGTTTTCATGATACGACAAGTTGCGCACGGTCTGCTCACATTCAAATACAGTGCTGCCAACAAATGACAGCGTGCAACAAAAAAATCTTTCCTTCCAAGGGCACATTTTTCAGAGCATTTGCAGCTATTCATGCTCTTTCAACTGACGTAGCACTCAATATGAATTTACAAATTCGATTTTTCAGAGAATTTTTGGGTAGTCTGCCACCTTAAAGGGTTAACTCAGTTGTTGTGAAACCTGTCTAAGCCGACAACTCAACGGACATTCAAAATGTGGTTTCCATGTCGTATTTTATACCCTCCTTTCGAAGTGCACGTAGGCGTTCACCAGCCAGCTAGCAGAGCGAGCGAGCCCGGGCGCGAGCGCTGGCGATACATAACTTGTGTATCTGTATGCGTACTTTTACATATCCATTGTTCATTATGCACTTCCTTTGCTAACCAAATGAAATGTATGGATTTTTGTGGTTTTAGCCTTTCGCATTCAAATCTGCTTCAAGGTTTGGACTTAGAGCGAAATGAACGCAAAAGTTACCAGGCATAACCGCGTGGAGGTGCCACCATCTATGCCCGCGTGGAGGTCAACAGCTCCTTCACCAGGAATTAAGGAGCAGTCGTCATCACATGCAAGCGTTTCTTCACGGAGTTGTCTCTCCGACATTGTTCTTGGAGTATGCTCTCCCTTACAACTTACGTGGCGTTGTCGATTGAGTCACTGGTCACGTCGTTGCATCACTGTCATCATCCTCAGGGTCTGATATGTCGTCGAAAACAACGTAATGTTCATCATCTGGTGCGACCGTGGTACTGTCGGTGAGCTTGGCTGTCTCTGGCAACTCTCCATAGGCCTTCAGCTTCCTTGCCTCCTCATCGCTGTACTTCAGAATCACGTCCGCTCTAGAATCCTGGAAGTCCCCGAGGCCAATCAGGATGATGTTGCCGTGCTTGATCCAGACCTTCTTCCGTAGCTTTCCCCGAATTTGGCAAATCCGGGTTCTGCCATCATAGCAGAAAGCCTCGCGCCGACAACAGCCAAACAGCTTAGTAACTTGTGCGTATTCGTGGCGGTCCTCTCTGAATACTAACTCTCCATTGTAGTAATGACTGTCGATCTTTCCCCAACGACGATTCTTCCCTCCTTTCTCTTTATTCGGCCGCATGGCTGTTAACGTTACGAAAAAAACACGGAATAAGTGAAAATAATGTTCCCAATCACGAGGAGCAATGCGAACAACTAAATCCTACCTTCGTAGCTTCACGATGCACTGGTAGCGATCTAAGAAATTCTGTCAAACAAACCTCTATCTTACACTCCAGAAAATGGACTGACAACAAGCTATACCGTGGTATTTTATACCCTCCTTTCGAAGTGCGCGTAGGCATTGGCCAGCTGTAGCAGGACGAGCGAGCCAATGCTCCGGGCGCCAGCGCTGGCTATACAGGTCGTATCTGTATGCACAGGTCACGGGGTCAGGTAGACCGCTGCAATGCATTATGTGGACACTTCTTGCCAGCAGTTACGTGTGCGAGGTTCTACTCTACCCCTCTAAGGAGTAAGTACCCGGTGCTTGCTTTGAAAGGACATGCCGACGCTAGTTTAGCTGGCAATGCCTATGGTGTGGTCTGCACCCACTCCTGCACCTTTTAATAACAAACGCTCATCTACAACGCCTGGGGTTATGCACGTAAGATCTACGCAAATACGAGTAGCTACTATTAGACCTACACTGTCGGGACACTGACCTACACTGTCGGGACACCGACCTACACTAGGCTCGATTAGTGCTAAATCTCCACGCAGTATTTCCGTCTTGGATAGGTGCTGATGTACTTGCATGGCTTAGATCTCACCCTTGCAACTATGCCTTGCTCTGTCGGCAGTTCAATACAATCATTCAAACCTAGTTAGAAGTGGTGCACGGCGGGATTTCTGTTTGGCTACCCATCACGCTGTGGTTCGGCGGCAAACCGTGCTAACCTTTGGCGGGACAAGACTGACAGGAACATAGCACTTCACTCTTCATTGAGCTCTCTCCTATTCTTTGTTCTTTCTTATTATTTTCTCACCGAGTCTCCTTTCTCGTAACAGAATACAGGTAAAATATTCACTACCTTGTCATTACGCATTTGTGCTCGTTTTGATTTGCGAATAAAAATAATAATTATACATAAATACAGGGCAAAAGAATATGGGTAACAGCAAGATGTTCCCTCATCGATACGTACTGACACAATTGCATGGCATATGATCTCACCAATGAAATAATGCTCTGTCGGCAGATCAAGTAATTGACCTGTAGCTTGAAGTGGGTGCATGACGGGATTTCTAACCGGCAATGCGTCAAGCTGGCTGTGATTCTCAAAAGAACTGTCTGTCCGGTTGTAACGCTGACGTCGACATGTAGCTCTCTTTTTTTACACGTCACTCGGTTACACTGGAGACGCCCTCGATTTAGGCTAAGGCCTGTCGAGAATCCACAAAATGCAAATACAAATACAAAATTTTAATACAAATACTGTAGCAAACCTTGGCCAGACTTTGCTCCGGGTTTGGACAAAGAGGAACACTTCGCTCTTCATTGAGCTTTCTCCCATTCACTCCTTATTTTCTCACCAACTCTCCTTCCCTGTAACACAATAACATTATTATTCAATGCCTTGTCTTTGAGCATTTGTGCTCGTTTGCATTTGCGAGTTCAAATAAAATGTATATACAATCATGTAAATACAAATAGAGTCTCGCCAAACGCAAAATGTGAAAATTAATATTCTGGCTTGGACTGCCAGTACAACCAATAGTCTCTGTCAAGTCATGGAATTTGCCAAGTGTTCCCTGACGATGCACGGCTTCAGCTTTCCAAAGCATGTGTTCTGGGATGGGTATGGCCGAACTACCGGTACTGGGTGAGAATCGCCACCCATGTTGTTCTTGTGGCCAAGGTACGAGCGTCTTCAAGTCACTCTCCTACCTTTGGCTAGAGTCAGTTTACTTCCAAATTCTTCCTATCGTCATAACTCCTTACGATACAGCGCACAGATACACCATCAAGCGTGCATAATCTGTCCACTGACCTTATAGGATTTACTGCAGTCACTGACTTTGTGTCGGTACTAGTGATTTAACGAATGGTGTTTTCTTGGAACGAATATTCTCCCGAATATTGCGTTGACGAACGGCCGAATATTCTATTATTCTTGTGATGTGCGTCGATCACTTCATTCCATCAGACCCAACATTCATGTTGCATACAGATCACATTCCCACGGGTTATAGGGCAGATTTTCTCCAAGAACAAGCTTCACAGCTCTCAGAATATAATATTTTTGATACTGTCATCATCAATACTGTTCAGGATATCACGGTTTGAGCTAAAAAATCACTTCCGTTAATTGTTTTTCTTTGTAATTTTCCATTCATTTCTGCTTTAATTCATATTTGCTTTGTTTTCTTAGCTTACTATTGCTGTGGCTGGCTCAACGCCCTTGTCTCAGGGGGTTCTGTCCCTGCATTAGCTATGCTTGTCACATGCTATGAGATTGTGTCTAATAATAATAATAATAACAATAATAAATAACGAAGTAGTGGTTGCGACTTCGGCGATGATTTGTAAGAAATGGTTTGCTCCCCACACCGGAGCTCGCGCTATTCCGCCGACTTTACTTGACACTTGACTGACTTACGACTGCCATCCAGAGCACACGAGAAGTCCATCGAACCTTCGACTCGGCAAACCTGCAAGAAAGCACCACTCCCTGCTCAATACACAGTGTTTCGGGGAATTCACCCCTCATCAGTTGAGCTTGAGTAGGCTGAGGAAGATTGTGCCTGAAGAGCACCACTTATATAGTGCTCTCCAGGCACAAACATCACCAGGGATACAAACTTACAGAGACGCTCTGTTTCAAGCGCGACAAACACCTCGTGAACACCAGATAGCAGCGTGAGTCAGTGTCGCTCCTGGACGGTGAGACAGCCGTCGAGGACCCTCGGTCATTCGCAACGCTGTCACCTCCAAACCAACTAGTCGCAAGCCCGCGCTGGGCACAACAGTACGAAGTAGTGGTTGCGACTTCGGCGATGATTTGTAAGAAATGGTTTGCTCCCCACACCGGAGCTCGCGCTATTCCGCCGACTTTACTTGACACTTGACTGACTCACGACTGCCATCCAGAGCACACGAGAAGTCCATCGAACCTTCGACTCGGCAAACCTGCAAGAAAGCACCACTCCCTGCTCAATACACAGTGTTTCGGGGAATTCACCCCTCATCAGTTGAGCTTGAGTAGGCTGAGGAAGATTGTGCCTGAAGAGCACCACTTATATAGTGCTCTCCAGGCACAAACATCACCAGGGATACAAACTTACAGAGACGCTCCGTTTCAAGCGCGACAAACACCTCGTGAACACCAGATAGCAGCGTGAGTCAGTGTCGCTCCTGGACGGTGAGACAGACGTCGAGGACCCTCGGTCATTCGCAACGCTGTCACCTCCAAACCAACTAGTCGCAAGCCCGCGCTGGGCACAACAGTACGAAGTAGTGGTTGCGACTTCGGCGATGATTTGTAAGAAATGGTTTGCTCCCCACACCGGAGCTCGCGCTATTCCGCCGACTTTACTTCACACTTGACTGACTCACGACTGCCATCCAGAGCACACGAGAAGTCCATCGAACCTTCGACTCGGCAAACCTGCAAGAAAGCACCACTCCCTGCTCAATACACAGTGTTTCGGGGAATTCACCCCTCATCAGTTGAGCTTGAGTAGGCTGAGGAAGATTGTGCCTGAAGAGCACCACTTATATAGTGCTCTCCAGGCACAAACATCACCAGGGATACAAACTTACAGAGACGCTCCGTTTCAAGCGCGACAAACACCTCGTGAACACCAGATAGCAGCGTGAGTCAGTGTCGCTCCTGGACGGTGAGACAGACGTCGAGGACCCTCGGTCATTCGCAACGCTGTCACCTCCAAACCAACTAGTCGCAAGCCCGCGCTGGGCACAACAGTACGAAGTAGTGGTTGCGACTTCGGCGATGATTTGAAAGAAATGGTTTGCTCCCCACACCGGAGCTCGCGCTATTCCGCCGACTTTACTTGACACTTGACTGACTCACGACTGCCATCCAGAGCACACGAGAAGTCCATCGAACCTTCGACTCGGCAAACCTGCAAGAAAGCACCACTCCCTGCTCAATACACAGTGTTTCGGGGAATTCACCCCTCATCAGTTGAGCTTGAGTAGGCTGAGGAAGATTGTGCCTGAAGAGCACCACTTATATAGTGCTCTCCAGGCACAAACATCACCAGGGATACAAACTTACAGAGACGCTCCGTTTCAAGCGCGACAAACACCTCGTGAACACCAGATAGCAGCGTGAGTCAGTGTCGCTCCTGGACGGTGAGACAGACGTCGAGGACCCTCGGTCATTCGCAACGCTGTCACCTCCAAACCAACTAGTCGCAAGCCCGCGCTGGGCACAACAGTACGAAGTAGTGGTTGCGACTTCGGCGATGATTTGTAAGAAATGGTTTGCTCCCCACACCGGAGCTCGCGCTATTCCGCCGACTTTACTTCACACTTGACTGACTCACGACTGCCATCCAGAGCAGACGAGAAGTCCATCGAACCTTCGACTCTTCAAACCTGCAAGAAAGCACCACTCCCTGCTCAATACACAGTGTTTCGGGGAATTCACCCCTCATCAGTTGAGCTTGAGTAGGCTGAGGAAGATTGTGCCTGAAGAGCACCACTTATATAGTGCTCTCCAGGCACAAACATCACCAGGGATACAAACTTACAGAGACGCTCCGTTTCAAGCGCGACAAACACCTCGTGAACACGTCTGTCTCACCTCACCTCGTGAACACGTCTGTCTCACCTCACCTCGTGAACACGTCTGTCTCACCGTCCAGGAGCGACACTGACTCACGCTGCTATCTGGTGTTCACGAGGTGTTTGTCGCGCTTGAAACCGATCGTCTCTGTAAGTTTGTATCCCTGGTGATGTTTGTGCCTGGAGAGCACTATATAAGTGGTGCTCTTCAGGCACAATCTTCCTCAGCCTACTCAAGCTCAACTGATGAGGGGTGAATTCCCCGAAACACTGTGTATTGAGCAGGGAGTGGTGCTTTCTTGCAGGTTTGCCGAGTCGAAGGTTCG